TAGTGAGATTGTCATAATACTTAGTAGAGAATTGTTACTTCATTTAGGATTTGTAAGGTGAAATCTAATTTTCCTTGCTTGTACTTATTCATGTTGAAGATTTTATTTTATTATTAAATCAAAAAAAATCATTAGACATAAGCGCTTCGTCGAATGATATAAATTCATCACAAAACAAAAAAGAGTTTGTCACAAAATGTTAATAATAGAGTGATAATTGGATAATCCAATTTTTTAAAGTAAATTAATATTTTTAATCAGACAAATAACGCGATTACGTCGATATGTCCGAGTGGTTAAGGAGACAGACTCGAAATCTGTTGGGCTTTGCCTGCGCAGGTTCGAATCCTGCTGTCGACGAATTTTTTTGCCAAGCCAATTGCTTAAATGGGCCTGTCATCTCATCTGGCCCAAAGGCCCAACTTTGGGCCTGTCATCTCGTCTGGCCCAATCTTTTCCAGAACTTGGGCCTTTATGTTCATACGTCCGTTACATTCCATAGGAAAATATGTGTTCTTTTCATGAAGAGATTTTTTTTTATTTTTTAAGCTATACATAAAGGGGAATGAAAAGGGAATCTCTATGGAAATTATAGGGTATAAATCAAATCTTCACTAATAATTCAAAAAACACAAGTAACTAATCTACTGAATTATCAAATATAAAATTTTTTTAAATATTTAATTATCTCAAATATATCACGTAAGCATTTATTCGATCTCAAATATATTACATAGGCATTTATTCGAGATCTCATCTATCAAATTCGATGGTGGTGCCAACTCAAATTTGATTGGTTAAAATAGGAACAACAAAGGAGACTCTTCATGTTAAATGCAAATGAATAAAAATACGGTGCACATATATTGTCGGCGACCTTTCATACACTTGGTCAAAATTTTCACTCTTTAGTCTTTTTCTACATCCCTCAACTCTCCCTCCCCCAACTCTTTTTTTTTTTCGCGGGACCTAAAAATTTATTCATACTTGATATTTATATATTTACATTAAATATATATAAAAATGTATTTTCTTTATCTATAAATGTTCGGAAGATATATTAAAAATAGTTATTCAAGATTAATCGCGGTTTGTTATTTTTTTTCAGTTCTAATAATTACTCTATTTTGTTCAATTGAAAAAAATTACGTAGATTTTTGGTATTCTGACTATAGTAGATTATACTAATCAAATTACACCTTGAATTGAATTTTTTACTCCAGGAGAGTGCATGATCTTACTCTGACAAATAATTATGGACAGAGGGAATATATATTACTCACTTTGTCCCTATTTACTTTTCATATTTTCTCTTTTTGTTGTTCCTATTTACCTGTCCATTTTGAAAAATCAAGAAAAGACAAATTTTTTTTCTATTATATCCGTATTTAAACTTCTTGAAAATTTTCAAATTTTAATTCATTATTTTTGAAATCATAATTAATAAAGATAAAATTATAATTTTAATGTGCTAATTATTATTATATTAATATATGTGTCATTTTTAAAGTGGATAACTAAATAAGAACGTAACACTATTTTTTATTGATTTGGTACATGTGACTAGTGTGTGTGAGTAGATATTTTCCCCAACCTAGTAAAAGTAGCTAGTATGATAAGTTGCTTTCTTCTAGAAAGCAAAAATAATCAAAGATTTAATCAAATTATGTAATCAATTAGATAACCTTTCATTTCGAAGATTCATCACGTACCCTACACTCATGAATATATCAATATAAATATTACCTACTCTTTTATTTATTTGTCTTGCTTAAGCGTTGAGTCACATTATATTAGGAGAAAACAAAACTTCATTATTAATAACTGTTTCCTAGGATAATAATTTTTAATTTGTTTGGTGTGATTGTCCTAATTTAGAGTCAGGCATACGCGAATCTTTTTTATTGAAAGCATATTGCAAAAATAGGATACGATAAGAATTTAAAGTTTAAGAGTTCATTTACAACATTTTTTTGATCCAAATTTTGTACATATATATTTCAAATCCTAAACAACGTGCTCTTGTTGTTTTATGATGTGTTGTCGATATTTTTTCAAAAGAGTACTTCGTATATAGACCATGCTTTTCTATAGTTATAATATATGCATGTATTGCGCACCATGCTCAATAAATATTGTTCACGAGTGCCATGAACTTTTGGACAAAGACAAATAATTGCTGATCAGTTGTTTTTATCTTTAACAAATATTATTATTACTCTTTCGTGTTTAATATATATTATCATGTGATTTTGTTTTATTCTTTAATTTAGATCTCATATTTGAGCGTTGGATACAGAAAATTTTATTAAACAAACTGCGAGTATTGAGTGAATTTTATCTGATGTGAATATTAATTTGAATATTGAATATCAGATATCAAAAAGATGCTTTTAAAAGATCGATAGCATTCCTTTAAAACTTTTTGACCACCCATTTTAATTGAATGAATAAACATTGAATACTTATTATTTAGGTTAGACGAGAATAAGTTGACAAATGGAGTCGTAAATTAAGAATAAGAAAAATAAAGTTGGGCAATTCTCTTAATACAATCACTTTTTTTTTTCTCTTTAGATATTATTCTAAAGTCTGATAAGACGTTTCTGCTGTAGAAGGTTGGCTTGAAAATTCATTATTTTGGGGAATGGACCAAATAATTGTATGAAAATGATAATTCATTCCGGCTAATATCAGAGGCGAAGTTAGGAATAAGTTTTACGAATTTGAAAATTTTAAATTTTAGTATAAAGGAGAAAATATTATAAAACATACTTTTTTTCTTTAAAAAAAAACTTTTATTGATATGGTGGGGTTCGAATCCACAACACTAAGTTGCAAGCATTTTCATTCATCATTTTTTACCACTGAGCTATCAAACAATTTTTTTAGAAGATTCACAAGTTATATATATATATAGAGATGTTTATATTCTAATATAAACACAAGATCTATATAAAACCTATTAAATTTGTCTGAGACCACAAACTCTCACTTCGCTCTGCCTCTCACTAAATTCAGATGAAAATGATTTAATTTCATATATATGTCGAATTTCAAGTAAAAATGAATATTCAGTCATTTACACGTGAACAACATAATAAACTTTTTAATCATATTTTTAAAAAATGTTACTTAAAAACTTAAGTTGCATATTCAAATAACCTAATATTTAAATAAAATGATCAACCACTTCAGTAAATAATTTTCAACCAAATACAGTCCTATTCGAATTCCTTATCGAAGGACGAACTATTAGCTGCAGGCATAAAAAAGAAATTTCCAAGAAACGAGGGATAGTTTTATTTCAGCAGTAAATAAAAGAAAAAGAGCCAGTAAAAGGTTGATTATTTAAAAAAGGGATAATTCACAGGTACCCTTCGCCCGAAATCTCAGACACATTAATACTATACTAAGGTTTTATTATCCCAAATTTATTTTATTAATAATTTTTAACCTTTTTGGCCTATTTGACACTATCTTGTGGGCTTCTGGTTAATTTTTTTCAACCTAGTGCTACGTAGGCTGAAAAAAAATAGAAAATTACTTATAAAATAATTCAACGATAATAAAACCTTAATATAGTATAAGTGTTTCTCTAAACTTTTAGACATATATTAAAGGAATATTTATGCAATTTTCTCTTTTTTTTAAAAAAAAGTCAGCTGGAAAAGGGAAAATAGAAAAATGATAAAATGGTGATCATTGGATCACATCAATCAGATTTGGATACATAAAATAATAAGGCATAATAATTTATAATTTATATATTGGAAATAAATAGTCAAGAATATTATTGCGTACGTAGCCTTGCACAGGAGGAGGAGGAAACTTTTGTTTGTTAGTACATTTAAATGTTATTTTTAAACAAAGATATGATAATTAATAACCAATGAATAGATTTCAACAATAAAATAATTAATGGATTTGAACAATAATTACTTCAATAATAAAATTAAAATAATGAATAGAATGGAAGCATCATCAGTTGGCCAAGGGTCCTTTTCGCACTAAAGAAGGTAGTGCCTTCTCCTGTTTTTTTTTTTTTTTCTAATTATTATTATTAAATAAAAGTATACAATATACTTTTATTATTAATGTATAGTAGCTAATTATTCAAGGATGCCCTTATATTGTTCTTTTATAATTTCTGTTGATATCACCCCAATAAAACCTTTTTAACGTCTCATTCTTAACCAGGAAGACCTCAAGAACAGAAAATTGATTTTAAAATATGATTTTTATATTATACTTCTTTATTGACTTGGGGTAATACCATATTATATCTTAACGTTAGAATCCAAATAACAATTAAAATTTGAAATAAGACGCTATTTTTGAAATTCTTGAAACTGGTATGAATAGTGCAAGTAGTACTAAAACTTTGCAATAACAATAACATACATACCCCAAACTCTGTAATAGCTGAATTATGATAACAGATCGATAACAATATATTTTCAAATCATTTGAAATATAATTATATAAATCTCTAAAATAACTATATAATATCTCATTGTTAACTTGATAAAAATTGGAGTACGTATTACTTATCATACATTACTATATCCACGAATAAATGTTAAAAAGAAAAACAATTCATCTATCGATAATCAATATACACATAAAAGTTTTTAAAAAATCCACATAGGGTAACAAAATCTTGGGGGTAAAAAGAAGGCACCTGAAACTGCAAAAAGTCTGACGTTATATTTGTATACGGCAGTTTAAAGATACACACGTGAGGATATACAGCATATATTTTTTCCATTTTCATACAAGGTAAAATAGGGGACCATGTATGTATATATTCATATGCAATACTTTTTTATTTGATAATCATGATATTCGAATCAGTTTTCATAAATTTCGACTAATTTTATCAAATACATATCATCTTCTGTGAACAATATATATCAAATAACTCTGACTATCAAAGTTATAGAACAGAAACTAAAAATAGCTGATAAAATCTCCGCAATATATGAGGAGAAATATTCTTACCAGATGAATGATAATTCAATTGTTACTATATATATTTTAGTAAAACAAATGTGATCAGAACTAAATTTGAATTCGCGTCATATAAGATTCAAGTAATTCACAATTACTAACTAAACTTAAAATTGAAAATGAATAGTATTATACTATACTGTTGTATTAGGATCAGTAGGTGGTTGTTGACCAATAACACCGTCTCCGCCACTGCCATCACCACCACCACTACTACTTCCTCCTTCTGCCGCGACAGCACTTCCAGCTGTCGCGACCGAACTGGATGTACTGGGCCGTTTACGTTTCTTCTTTTCATAAGGAATTCCTCTAGCTTTTGCTTGACTTTCTCTAACTTCCCTTAAATAAATTCTAACAGCTTTGGCACCAAATGGATTTGATTCAGGTTTTCCCCCATTTTCTTCATAAGCAGCTCTTAGCCTTCCAATTAGTGCATCAAGGCTACCCCAAGCCTGTTTTAACGGACACGCACAAGGTGCGGGTGGATTTGGGTGCCCGAAATACGGGCACCCGGTCACGTGCACTTTTGTTTTCCCAAATTGATCAAGGTACTTAAGGAACTCGATCACGTGAGCTCCGCTGCAGCGGGCTAGGGTTAATGGCGGTTTGTGGTTCCTTAAGTACTGTAAAAAAGTATTCCAATCTCGACGTTTCTGTGACTCGTATCGACTTGGCGGTGCTGCAGACACCGTTGTTGACTGTCCCCCCTCCGTCACAGCGCTTGCTGATGATGTACCTGTACCTCCTTCGCTGCTACCGACAATGTTTGGGTCGGGTTGTTCAACTCTAGATGTTGAATCCATAAAATGCTAGAATTTATGAGAATAAAATATATTGATAATTCCAATTACTAACTCCACTGATGATTAGTGTCTTCTAAAACCCCAAAATGGAGCTTTTACATCGTTGTCTGACAGTTAGCTAAGAGAAAAAACTCGATCGCCTCGCAATTATATTGCATCTATTTTACTAGTACTGAATACTAGATAGACAGACCGGTTTCTTTTTGCTTGTCTAACTCAAACCCAGGTAGTCACCATCACTCAAAATTGTTATATACGAGGAAGTGGAACACATTCAAATTCAAAATCAAATCAAATCAAATCGAAAAGAAAACCTTACACAACAAGGCGAAAATTGATTCCAATTTACCCTCTTTGTTTCTACAATTTGAAGCAACTCTTTGAGAAAACGATACAGTGAAATAATGGATTACTTTGAATTTTTTCAAAGTTTGATAGATGATGATGCGACTTAAGGATACACTGAATGTGTGATGATGAGAATTTTTTTTATTTTTGATGAATTCAGAAAAATTAAAGAGAGAGAAAAACTATACAGTATACTGGTGTAATAATAGAAGGAAAAGAGTGAAGAAAAAAAATTAAAAATAGGGAGAGTAATTGAGAGGGTGGTGGGGCCTAGCGGGGTGAAGTTAGGCGGGGGTTACTATTCACACCACCGGAGGCCCCTCCACTCTCAAAATGCATTTGCACTGTTTCGTTATCTTGTTTTCTATTAGTAATATTATCAAATGTATTATGCCCCACTCACTTTGACTTACGGTACGTACCCTTCTTCCAAACCACATGATTTTACCGTTTATTATTTTCTTCGTTTTAATTTGTTTAAAGGATATTTAGTCACGAGAGGAGCCTTTAAATAATTGATAAAGTTCTTATCATGAATATCACAAATTTAAATCCTAAAAATAAAGTTTTTGATAAAAATATAGAAAGTAAGATAGTGTATAATAAGCTCTTGTAATTTGATTTTCTCTCGAATTGTGTGTATACCGAAAACTCAATTGCACCGGACAACTCTTTTTAAAGGACATTTGATTATGAAAAATTCACCTTTTTTTTCAAAATTAAACTTCAAAAACATGCTTGTCATATAATTTTGAAATTTAACTTGAAAATGAATTGAAGAATTTATACTTTAAATTACTAAAAAAATATCAATTTGTATTCATGGCCAACTATGATTTTCAATTTTTTAATATTTTTTTTCAAATTTTCCAATGAAACCACACACACTTGTCTTAGACTAGGCACAAATTTAAGTAAGTTAGATTTTTAAATAATATTATCTTAAATTATATAAATATGTATAATATATTAATAGATCGTTTAATTTTATAAATTTAAATTAGATACCTGATTTAAATTTAACAATTATCAAATTATATTTTTTTTCCGCCATTGTCAATATGTTAGAGACTCTATTTTAAAAACAAATTAAAATAATAATAATACAAACAAAATTGGACCGGAGGTTCTACAACAAGGGCAAAGAATAATTTTCACACGAAACCTAGTATTTTTTATTAATTCAATCGAGTGATTTCTTAACAATTTTATCGATACAATTCGACATACTAACGCAATGTTTGTTTTTTTGGAATAAATGTCATTATATTTATATTAATTATGCATAATTTACGCTGACAATTTATATCTCCCCCAATTACCCCCACCCCCCACAACAGCATATACTAATTTTTTTAAAGTTATTGCAACTTATGGGCAATAAAATAATTAATACAGTATAATATAATATATGGGTAGTATAAAATTGCTCATTAAAAATAAAATAAGAAATATAAAGTTAATTATTTCCAAATTCAGTGGTGTATGTATATCATTATTCTTCTCAGTAGAAACTAAAAAAATTAATATATCACATAGAGTAGTTTTTTTTTTTTTTTTACCGAACCTACTTAATTCTAAAGGAACAAATCAAATCTAAACAGATAAATCTACATGTTTTTAATCTTATAATCATCCACTCAATTAATTTAAAATTCGCATGATGTATTAAAAGACAATACTCTTCATTAAAATATATTTTATTTTTAGGACTCGAAATATAAATCTCTCTTTACCGTACTAGGACGGTTATTGTCGGGAGAGGAGCTACCTTGTATGAAGCGGATTTATCTGAATTTCCTTCTGGCAGAAAATTATATTATTTATAAATGATTAAAATAATTTTATATGTATATATAGTAAATGTCGAATCTCCTTCAACTGCTTCATGTGTCTATTCTACTGATTTTGAATTTCTTTATTGAAAATCTTGCTCCGCTTTTGACTATTGCATTGTAAAGTGATAGTAGTATATTTTAGAATATATAGATCTTATGATACGTAGTGGACAGGTATAGATTATACGGTATAATCTAAAGTCAAAAGTTTCAAATAAATATTCTTGATGATGAAAAGAATTCATTTTCTTTAAAAAAAAATTATTACATTAGGGGTTTGCGGAGGAGATTATAAGTTGAAGCATAAAGAAAGGTGAACATTTAGATAGTTAATTAACTGATCTATTCTCTTCATTTCATATTAGTTGATCATCTTACTAAAAAATAGTTCTTTCATATTAGTTGATCATTTCATTAAATCAAGAAAGCATTAATTTAAAATTTTCTATATTGTCCTCGTGATTAATTATTTTTTTATAATATTCGTATTTATTTGTAAAATTTTTAAAATCTCCAAAGAAATTTAAAGGGTGAATAAATAAATTATTTTTTATTTATAATTTCTTATATGTATAAAAAGAAAAATAATCTATTTATATTAAAAATGTTGAGAGTATTTTTTTAACAGTATAAGTTTTTAAAAAATATGTTGAGAGTATTAACCTAAGAAATTCATGGTTTAATTTGTAACTAGGTGATGCAGATATTCATTAATTATTTAGCTCTAAAAAGTCTAAATTTGTCCAATTCAGAACTTCACATCACTAAAAAGTGTTATAGTATCAATATACCCCCCCCCCCCTCCCCCCAAAAAAAAAAAAAAAATTATTTCATATCAATAGATAATAAAATTAACAGGCTCTATTAGTTGCATGTTAATTGCATTTTCACTTTTTCGTAAAACTAATTAATTATCATTACATTATATACTAATGTCTAGATATATTTTAATTTGCTATGCTTAAAATATTTTATTGCCTCCGGCTCTACCAATTTATACTTTCTCGTAATTTTGTTTAAATTAAATCAATTTTAATTTTTTTTTTTGATATTGTGGTTCAAAACAAATCCTTAGATACTTTCGTAGTAATAAAAACATCTAATTAAGAGTAAAAAAGAATTTTAAAAATAACTTTTTTATAATTATATCAAAGTGATATTTTTTGTGAGACGTCAAACTAAATATGTCAAATGATCAATTGGAACGGAGCACCTAATACTACTTCTTTTATTCTAAATTAACCGTCACCTCTGAATAATCCGTTTATTAAGAAACCAATACATACAATACATCGATTAGTAAATGGACCTCGTTCTTATTCTTTTGTTTTTGTTGCACTTGTATAATACACAAGAATCACAATATTGTTTTTGTTTTTATATTTGGATTACACTTGCATAATTTTTTATATTAATATTATTATTACCGTTTCTATATTATGAGCATTATATAATTTCACACTGTTGCTTTATTATTTCAAATTGCTGAAGAAATATATATTTTTCTTTACAATTACTTTTTATTGATTAAACTAAAAATTAATAAATTTAAAAATATATAAAATCGAACTAAATCAAATAATACGGGAATAAATAATTGTCACTTGTTATGTGGTGCACATAGAATTGGTTAATGACAAAATGGCATCTTGAATTGGTCAAGGGAGTGTAGGGCCACTGTACGAACTTACTTTTGCAGTGGGATTCCAAATGTCAGTATTAAATAGTAATTTTAGCTCTATGTATTATTTTCTTCGTACGATATTGTTTATCATGATTTTTATTTTTAGATTTAAATTATAAAAATTTTAATTAATATTTTAAGATATATATTTTGATCATATTAATATGTAAAAGGTTGTAATTTATAGTACTTTTCATATAATTTTAGAATATTTATTTTTTTTGTCCAAAATATTAAATCAACGTGATCTAATTTAACTTAAAAAATTGACTTTCAAAAAGCGTAACATGAAAAGCAATTCCGAACGAACGAAGTAAATAGTAATTTCCTATCGTGGGTAGCCTCGATGATTTTTACCAAGGAAATTCTACGATATCAATAATATATTTAATATAATCGATTTAGAAAAAAATATAAGTCATAGTTACAATAATATGATAAACAATAACATGTATAATAATAAAATTAAAGATTTGTACTGATAATAGTGGTAAGGGAAATTACTTACACAATGCTTGAGTACTTATTAACCTTCTGTCATAATCAATTTTCTATTCCGCCACATCCTCTTATTTAGGATCATATCCTCCATAAGCACTTGTCTAATTATCACTTCAATATTTTTTCGACTTACATTTATCTCTCCTTGATTCGACCATGGTCAACCTCTCGCACCTAATTTCTTGGGTATTTGTATCAATGGCGGAACCACATATAGTTGAGGGGTGTCGATCGACACTTCTTCGTCGAAAAGTTACACTATATAGTTTTAGTAGAAATATTTTTTATTTATATATATTACATATTGACAATCCTTGACTTCTACAGAACTTTACTTCTTTACATTTTGACGCCCTTTAGTCGAAGTTTTGGTTCTGCCACTGAATTTTGTATATCTCCTCTCATATCCAAACCATCTCAACTTCGTCTTTCTCATCTTGTTTGTCACGAGAAGGTCATTCTCACCTTATTTTAAATTATTTTAATCTTTTAAAATAAAAAATAAATTTGTTACTGAAAGTGTCATCCGATAAAAAGAGCTTCAGTAATTTTAGTTGTCTCTTAATATGAATAAATATGAATAGTGAACATCGAAAAATTTCGCTAAAAAAAAACAAAAGATGGGTTGGGAGGACTTGACGGTGGGAGTTAATGCCAAAATGTGGAAAATGAGGCATCTCGTGTGACTCCATTTAATTGCATCTCTCTCTTTGTTTTTCCCCTTTGGTCCATTCATTTGAAACTCACACTAAATTTGTCTTCTTTATTTTTCAAAAATTAAGAAAATGACATGACAAAAGAGTGCAACATTTCAAACGACAAAACTACATACTTTTAATTGATCAATATTCTATAGCATCGAAATTCTTTTCTGAAGAAATATTTGTATAGATAAATGTTGTTTCAAGAAGGAAAAAAAAAGACATTATTCTCTTCGTCCGTTAGTCTCAAATTAGTTGTCATATTTCGCTTTTCAAGATTCAATTGATTAACAATGTAAAATTGAATTAGATCAATATAATAATTTGTACTTTCTCTTATTTCAATATGATGAAAAAAAATACATTTTAAAAGATTAATGCAAAGTTGACGTAATTTAACTCTTAAAAATCAAGACTTTGCAACTAATTTAGAGTAAAGAAAGTAGACACCCAATTGTTAAAAAGGATTTAATTAGACAATTTAGAGTTGCTTTACATTAATATAATCGATTTTTTAATCAACTTAACAATTAATACTTATTAAACTTGCATGTAGTTATTGTACAAGTAACTTAATTAGTGTGATTACGTAGCTTAACCTATCAACATGTTTACTTCAATATTCAAGCGTTGTGCATTCTATATAGGAAGGTCTACGATTTTACATATAATAAAATTTTTCAAAATTCACGATATTATAGATTCAAGTTAAAAGAGATAAATTGAACAAATATAATCGTACATCTCTTATTGGAATATACTACTAAACCTAACAAATATTTATTTATACTATCGATATACAAAACATAATTTTTGAACAATGTGGGAGATACACAAGATAAGCTCCTTGTATTTATATGAAGTCAAAATGATAGTGCGACTTCATCGTACAGCATCTTGGAAAATTTCCCTCCTATAAAAACTGATCTTTTATTATATTTTACCTAAAAGAAAAGGTATCCGATGCTTCATCCCATTAATATAAATTCTCAGACATTAACTTTACAATGTGTACAAAAATGTCAATTTAATTCCAAAGCCCCACAATTTCCTTAAATTAATAAGTTTAGAAAAGATTTAATTGACTTTAATTTCATTGATCATTTATGCCTTCACACTAAAGGGATTCCTTTTATCATCATCTTCTCAAGCAATAAAAAGATAGCTTTTTTAAATGGAAAATTCTCATAGGGTATATCCTATAAACAGCCAATTTTAAGATAAATGAACTTTATTTTAAATAAATAAAATCTTGAAAAAAAACTTTAAGATGGATGACATAGTACAATCATTTGAAGTCATTATTGTTTTTTTTTTTTATATATATATATATATATATAAAGGGTACTATTTTAATGAAAAGAGTGAATAATTTCAAGAATGACATTATAGAAAATTGATGATGCTGATCATAATAATTGAAGATTTCATTAGGGGGTTTTCTTCTAATTAAATTATAGTTAGTGATAACGAAAGATATAATTTTCCAGTATATTACATCACGACTAGGGACCTATTGTTCATGATATTAAAATATTGTCTAGTAGCGGTTTGAAAGTTTTGTTTTCTGAAATTAATTGCTTATTACATTAACAGTTAAGAGAAGTAGCATCCAAAATAATGTTAATCTAAAACCTTTTCAACTACTAAATGATTCATACAGGCGAAAGAGAAGATGGTCACATAAAAAAGGTGAGAGTCCATGAGATGCCGATTCTGGTGAATCTCAAAGGTGATTAGATGAGACATGACTTTAGATACGAGAGTATGAATTTCGAAGATTAAAATAAAAAAATAGTAGATAATATAGTATTGTCTAATTACCTATGATTAGCATTATTATTACTACTCTCCAACTACTTTATTCTTCAATTTATTTTTATTACTTGTTGCTTCCTTTATATTTCATAGTCATATTGTTGCTATTATCCTTTTTCTCCATTATTTCTAAATTCTGCATGACTCTTTATTACTGATTTTGATATGAATTACATGGGCCGACAATCTATTGAAAATAAACTCTCTATCTTTACAATACATAAATAAAATTGCGTGCACACCACTCTTTTCATACACTATACGCTACTTATAGAATCATCTGAATATATTATCACTGTCCTAATATAATTACTGTTTCTTTACCTTGAACTATTAAGTGTTGATAAGAGGTTACGAGCATATGACAAAACAGGAGAAGAAGTGTATACGCAAGAAATTGGTCTATTTATTACTCCCCATCAACCATCCATGTCTGTGTTCTCATTTAGATGTTGGGTCTATTTACAGCTGATAGAGACACAAACCTCGTGAAAGCTACTAATGCCTTATGCTGACATACGTATTACCAAAAAAAAATAAAAAATAGCCTGATAGCACTAAGCTTTTACTACATCCAAGATCCGATAAAATCGAACTACGAAGTTTTGTTGGTATATACAGTCTTATCCTGCATTTCTGCAGGAGTCTATTTCACAACTCAAACCTATGACAGATTACTTGACATCAACTTTACCAGTTACATTATCAAAATAGTAGTTACTACTTTAACTACCATTTTTATTAAGTTATTAATCAATGTTAATAGTAAAATTTACATTTAATGATCATATTTTAAGTGATATGATAGTATAATATCTTAAACCATTCGACAACCCCTACAGGCTCAAGCAAGAAGAAAACGGAAATTACAACAGCATTTGTTTGTTTGTCCTGTATAATGAGACAATTCACGCTTGAATTGGGGACTTTTATTCCCTTCACAAGAAAGGACCACTGAATATTTCAATTCTCTGATTCACGTCGGTAGAATATAATCTTTGATCGTTAACTATAATCAAATAATTCGAAAACAAACCAACAAATATCATTGTTCAAATCCTGATGGATAGATTTATCCCATACCTGTATCGATAAGAGGTAGCAGGTGTCCCGTAAAATTAGTCCAAGACATATCATCATGAATAATGTGTCGAGGGTGTTTAGCTTCATGCTCTCTAAAATAAGAATCAAATGTGAAATTATTGGTATTTGAAAACACCAAAACTTTCAAGGTCAAAAGTAAATGTAGGTAGTGGAATCTAAACGTTCATATATCTATCAAAATACTTTTGAGAAGAATTTTTAAAACGCCTATAACCGTGGTTGCTCAATTTGCAACTTTTCTAAAAAAAGGTATTTCCCCTTTAACACACTTCATCTTTCTACTATGATTGATGAATTAAAAAATGGAAAAAAGATGATTTCAGGGAGAAGCATATAGTAACAGAAAGAAACGTATGGAGATTATATTCCCTTTAATGAAATGACCCTTCAAGAGATTTGGATTCTTTAGAAGAGGACCCATCATTATTATCATCATCATTCTTATTACTTTTTCCTCCCATTTCTTCAAAGTAATTGCATTTAGCCACTGATAGCCAGATGTTTTTTTTGGGTAGGGTCATCCCCTTGTTCTTTCTCTCTTTTTTTTTTTGATGACTTTCCCACTCATTAACTAATTCCACGGAGTATCTGACACTTCTCACTAACAATAGGTACCACGTAACTTTGCCACCAAGGCTATCACCCCCCTAGCTCTTTTAGCTTTTTCTTTTGAGAAGCACATTTTATTATTATTATTATTTTAGAAATAAGAAGGTTGTGGAGGTTATCCTTCATTTTGTTTTTGCTTTCATGCCTAGAAGCTGGTTTTTTCTTTTTCCTATTAGGCAGGAAAGAGAAAGAAAGAGTACAGTATGAAACACTCTTGGGTGCTCAACTACATATATTTCCTTGTAATCTTACAGTTCTCTTTTCAACACCTAACACTAAAATGGACCTTACGAGCGCAAATTTGGACTAGTTGGAGAAGTGTCAAACTTGGTGAAAGGACACAAGAAAATAAGCCACATACAGGGCATGGGTCTTGTCTCCCAATCATGGAAACCATCTGATTGGTTGAAAACTAGAAAAATGTAAGGGAACTTTATTATATATGATGTCTTCGTTGAAAGGCGTTTGATTAGAGAGAGAACTGAATGATTCATGATTGATGGTTCCCTACTGGACCAAACTATTGCAAAGTAGTCGCAGTAGAACTAAGAAGAATGATTTAGGGACATGCCATATACAAGAAAACTAAGAAAGACGATAGAAATGTTTCCCATTTCACAATCATCAGACTGAATCTGGCGGCAGTGATTAAGGAAAAAAAATTATCTCATATGAACCATGGAGAACCTCAAAAAAAAGAAGTTGATAATCGTGGTGTCCGGCCCAACAAAGGTACTGGGTAACTCCATCCACTAAGGCTTCGACAAATGGACAGAAATCACCTAATGTTTGATTTCTGGTCTCCTCAGAGATTTGAATTCAAGTCTTATGGTTTTCAACCCACTTTACTGGCCGCTAGGCTACACCCTTGGGTGCATATTTTTTTTTCATTACCCCGTGTCAAGCCATCAAATCGTTCCCAACATATAAATTTGGACACGGCGGAAAAATAAAATGAATCTGTATTTCAAGGAAAGGTTGAAAAGATGTGACAATCAGAAGCCCCTTTCAAACAAATTATAAAATCTAATAAGCTAGCATATCTATGGTATGTGACTGAAAGAATGGCTGGAAATATACTAACAAGAGAAATAACAATAATTTTACCTGGTTCCTTTAATGACGAAACTAGTCACAAGAGGCAACTGCTAGTGCCACACTCAGATCATTTGAGGTTCCGCATATGTACATTCTGTATGTTTCTAATTCTTGTTGGTAACCCCTTGGTGCATGACTAGCATAGTAATTTTCGCTCAGGTGATCACGTTTGGAAAATATGATCTCTCGCAATGTAGGTTCATGGCCATTTAGAAGATTTCCCATGCTTAAGACTTTCCTCCATGATTGATTCACAGTAGGTGGAGTGAACATGCTTGCAACAACTTCTCTCTCTTGTCGCCTAACTTCTTGTTTCTTATCGAAATCCTAACATAACAAAGTTGCACCATATAAAATGAGAAAGCAAGAGATAGAGGCACAGGTAAATTTACCCTTGTTTAGGGAAATATATTAAAAACAACATCTTCAGCCACAAAGATTTAAGCGAGGGTCCGAGAGGTATATGATGTTAAGCAAGTTAGGAAATATGTTAATAATTCTTGAGTCTTGACCAAGACGTCAATCTCTCATTCTAGTGATAGAAAAAGAGAAAGAACAAGAGATATAAAATCATACCTTCTTCTCATCACCACCAATTGATACTGTTCCCATTTTTGGTAGATAGAAGTTATAGTAGTCATTGAAAATGGATTCTGATAGACGCGGTGCTTGCAAGAACTTCTGATGAAGAGATGCAGCGAGTATTATCAAACTCTCAACATGTCCAAAAATTGCACAGAGTCGCTTCAGGTCTTCAATATCTTCAGTGCCAACAGATAGGCTATTTTCTGCAACAAAAAGGTCAACCTGTTAATTTACGAGCTCCTAAAATCCTATTGCAAATCAATAACATACTAGAACAGAAAATATACTTTGCAAGCATCTGAAGGTGGCTGCCATAGTGAGGTAAAGTTGTCCAATTCTGGTGGTCAGCTGCTTTAGGCCTCCAAATGACGTTCTGTTTAGCGTGTCAGCTGCTGCTTTAAAAGCAGTAGAAACCATTTGTCCCAACAATTCATATGGACGCAATGTTTCCAAATAATGAAGAACCTACACGAGTTGAACAATACAAATTACTTCCAATCAAATCAAGAAGCTACTCCATAAAGGTGCAATTTTTAAAGGGATTGACCAAACTACATAAACATTTTGCTATAAAACTTCCCTTGGCCCTTTCTTCGTTGGTCCTCCCCTATGCCCTAAAACCCTCCCCAGCTAGAAACCCCGACTCGAACTTTCAGGCCATTAACACTGCAAGTGTTCAAGGAAGTCAGAGACTATGCTGATTTGGTGAAAGACTACAACATGTAAGGAACCATCAGTCTGGATTAAAGAGGGGGCAATAGATGAATAGGGCAAACAGATGGAATCGGCTTGCTGAGTTATTCAATAGGGAGGAATGCTCTGGGGTCTCCAAATTTTAGTCTCTGGAGGACCAAATAGTCCACCTTAACTAGTCTGAGGGAAATAAACCCCACAAATCCTACTCCAAGGATCAAAACCTGCAATTTGTCTACTAATTTGCTGAAATTCTCATGAAGATTTATGATGGATCACTTATACCAGAATATTATAAATGAGCCTGGCTTATGCAAGTGTGCAATCTCAGTATACCTTTTCTCCTTCTTGATTTGGATCCAGAAGGGGCTTCTGCTCAGAAGCTGGCATTGGAAATGCCTCATTCCAAATCTTTCTCCATAAATTCCCATGCTCGGACATTCTTTCTGAAAGTTTTCCACGAGGTGGCCAATCGTTTGTTGACTCTACCACTGCATTGGTGTTAGATACTACCTTCTCCATATTATCATCATTCTCCCAGTCTCTGGGTGAATGCCATCGGATGAAATCTTCAAACACAGCATCGGGATTTGCCGCTTTAAAAGCAGACATATCTATTGCAGAATGCAAAGGATAATAAAAAGTGAATAAGAAGAGAAGATAAATTCTTCAAATATTAGCAAGCAAATGATAATTGGAAATGATTAAGTCTAGTGTGATGCATACAACTTGCTACAGTAGAAACAAAAAACTACATGGAAAATAAATCAAGGATTTGATTCACTTAGACAATTAGGAAGAAATTGTTTATGTACACTTTCAGCTTTGACTAAATCTGTTGAAAAAGTTCTCAATCTATAACATTTTGGCCTGAGATACTTAATCCATTTAAAAATGCTAACAAACTGATAATTAGTACAATTGATTCCTTGTAACCTTTTGAAATTTTTTTTGCGAAGGTATTGTATAAATGATCAGCACTAAGAAAGTGATGTCCAAATCTGTACATGTGCAGCAAAAAAGTAACTCAACAAAAGTCTAGTCCTGCTAAACATGTAAGGGTTCTAACCCCATTTGACACTTATTAAGGTGTCATATCTCCAGTGATAAGATAACCTATGGATTCCAATTAGAAGTTATTGTTCATAAAGGTGTATTACGACCCTACAAGTATGTCGTACAACTGGTTGGTTGGTCTGTCGCCAAACACCTGACTATAGATTATGTTTTTACAGTGAGCAACAAAAGAACCATAATGTGCTGACTTTCCTTCCACAATTAGATGACAATATAGACTTAAGTGTTATTTCAACCCGAGTAACAGTGTCTTGTTCCAATAACTCTTGAGGTAAAACAGAAGAATCCATCACAGGATGCACATCGATCTATTTTATGCATTTTCAAACTCTTTAAGTATCTCATGATCTCAGCACACAACAGCCAATAAGCTGAGATCCCCAAGATGTCCACTTGATGCTTTAGCCAAGTGAGAAGAAACCTATAAGTTGCAATGACTAATAAGAACCATATAACCTTTGTTGCTTGGATCTTTCAAAAATGCTGTCGGGTGTGTGTAAGATCCTCCAAGGAGGATCTGGCTGCAGCAACATTATATTTATTGAGGATCCTAGCAACATAGTGCATAACACAGACAAACGTGCCGAAGACAGAAAGAAAGCCATTAAGAAATTAGAAGGTACAGAAGTTCCTACCTGATGACAATATGTCTTTCTCAAGTTGGGCAGAAAATCTCTGCAAATAAACATTAGACGTTCCATTGTCAGATGAAATAATGGCGGAAATGATAAGACTTTATGAAGCAACTGAAGGATAGCTTAACATATAACAACTGTTTCCCCAGGAAATATTGCAATAGGAATCTATGGATATGTCCTTCAAACAAGACTAGGATAGTCAAAAACACAAACGAATACCAAACAGTCCAAATACTAGAAAATTTGCCACACCTTGTGTGATTTTTTAAAAAACAAATCTTTAACTGTCAACTCTAGACATATGTAGCTATTAAATACAAAGAGGTAACATTGTTTCAAAATTTTCTCAAAACTAATAATAATAACAATAACGAGAAAACTTTATGTTGGCTCAAAAGTGAGAGAGTGGAGTTTAGTGAAGAGACCAAAACTTATAATTGCTGAAATCAGTAGCAGGAACATGGAGTAAGTAAGTGTTTGAAATTCAGGAGAGAGCAAAGTAGTTATTCTAGAGTTCACAGTTTATATGCATTTTATTAGTATACAGATGAATTACAAATTTTCTACTATATATCAGGCGGAAAAGAGACTACTTCACCCTGATCATACTGTTTAAGCCATATCATTAATGGAATGCAATTCAATATATCTTAATCTGCATATTTAGGATCATCAATAAGGATGATTCTCTATCTGAGACGTGTATATGGATTTAAGTACCTAATCATCTAGGAGATGTACTGGCAATGTAGTCCATTGCTTGTTAGCAATTTCTTAAGCAGAAGATGATGTAAGAATTGGTGGGAATTACAAAACCATTTCTCTTATTGAACATGTTTAGTACTAAACAAAGCGAGAAGTCACCAAAAAAATTATCATATGTTGTTCTATAAGACCTGAAGCCAAGATTCACGTAGTTAATTCACCAATAAACCATTAAATTGGCATTTATATATATGCACAGACTATAGACTTCTTATATAGCAATCATTCTTCATTCAATTACAGTATGCAATGACTCTCTACAAGAATAGCAACAGCAGCATATTTCATGATTATCAGAAAAATAATTATCTATAATAGAGCTTTGAGCTCACAAAAGATTCACCAAGGGCCTCAACGGCTTGAAGACGTTCTTCGTGCATGTCTTCTGTCATAAGTGGTGGATCCTATAAAAAAAATTAACATCAAAAGTTTTCCATCATATCATACGCAAATGTGGGAAGGAAACAGAAGACTGATAAAAACAACAAATACTCGGTCAGCAGTACAAATGAATCAACCTGTGTAAATGGAGCATGCATGTTCTGGTAAGATTTCAGAAGCATCATAGACCCGACAATACCAGCCGATCCCTTCCTGATACATGCCGAATGCTTTGGATCACCTAACTTCACATCATCAGAATGTACAAAACTAGAAATATCACTTTCAGGATCATTTGGATGATCTAGTGTTGACAGACTGCAGAGAGAACAGGAAACAAACTCAGTTCAGTTCAAAGGGCAGAAATTCAAACTAATACAGATGAGTAGGTTTTTGAAACATAATACTAACTCCGCTCAATTTGTTTGTCCGGTTGTGACTTCGCACAAAACTTAAGAAAATAAAGAAGACTTCTGAATTTTGTGGTTTTAAACTAAAGATATGCAAAATGTACAAAAATTCCCTTTAATCTTGTGATCTTAAACATGACATGTGGAAAGTTAGAATTAAGGAGTAGCCAAAAAAGGAAAGAGACATTTTTTTTGGACTAAAAACGTAAGAAAGACAAACAAATTGATATGGAGGGAGTATACCCACATCTTGCACCAAAACGCATGCAATTTTCCCTGACTAAATTTAGTCCAATGCTGCAACTTTAAAACTTATGGATCTCCGATCCAGATGTAAGGCCTAGACTAGGTAAGCTTACCCCAGCCCCAAAGAAAAACCCAATATAAAAAGATGAATAAAAGGAGAAATGGCCAGATCATTTTGGATTAGCCTATCATCCTTTAGGTAGCTGGGAAAATGTAAAGAGAAAGGTCAGACACCCATCCTGACCCGACATCATATTTAACTATTTAGATAAAACATTGCCTCAAACGAGCATAATTTAAGTCGAAAGTGGGTCCAAATCAAGTATCTGGACTTCCACCAATACCAGAAAAAATTGAAATTCCCCTAGGGTGAAAAGAGGGAATATTCTCAAAACAAACTATGACGCAAGAATAAATGAATTAATATCAGTTCAGTTAAAACACCCTAAGATACAGCTTACAGAGTGTAGACTGCCGTGGCATAAATCAGCAGGTTTTAAAATTATAGGTGCTTCAATTCCTCCATCATGACATAATCACAAAACTTGACCTTCATGCAGCTTAGCATTGTAAAATAGACAAGAATAGCAGCACTTAAAATGCAGAAAAACTGGAATGACATAGTTCAGAAAAACTAGATTGGCTGACGATCAACAAGCATTCAACAATTAATACAAAAAGTTCTCACTTGCTTTTCACCTGTCACATTCAAAAAAAGAAGCCTCAGTATCTCCATCTTCAGAAGATATGTCACTCTGGATCTGAGAGTCTCCCTATATTATATAAGTTAATTAATATCCTGACAGGAAATTAAGTTATAACAATGCATTAATGTTCTTAAGCACTTAAAAACTTTTAGATAGAAACAATGTAGACAATTGTCATAAAAGTACCTTAACATGAGCGGAAAGGAAAAAATTGTTTTCACCTGCCTTTGGACACTCTTGATTCAACTGACGCTTTTTATCAATGCAAATTGAAAGCTACATATTTGGGAGATAAACCAAAATTAGACCAGATAGATTATTTACCGTTGCCATATCTTTAAAAGAGACTATCGAAGAGAAAGGGTAAAGGAAAGTATCATTCACTAGTACTCACGAAACGTCCATATTAATCAATTTAGAATACCATTTTGTTGCACTTTTTCTTAGAAATATTTTGTTATTCAAGATTGATCTTGGAAACAGATTTATTAGGAAGCTCATGACAAACAGGATAACTACAAACTAACAACTTCAAAAAAATCTGAGACTTCGATTCATATTTTTGCAAGATATAAATCAGAAAACTTAGGGATTAAATCTACGTCAAAAAATTCTGGGCTTCAACAAAACTACTACAATGAAAATCAAAGAAACAGTGAGAGACAGCAAGAAGGCAGTGAAAGAAAGGAAATAGGTGAACTGACTGAATATTCAGACACAGTTTACATGTTGAAAGATAAAACTAGTTATTGTGGCATTTGTTTGGAGATGCACTTATCAAAAGCCATAGAGGTAAGGAAGTCCTCATTATTTTCTTTATCAAAAAAAAAAGTCCTGCACATTATTTTCTATTACTCTGTCAAGCATTACTGCAAGTGACTCACCATGTGTAATTTCTGGTGAATTAAACATGTAGATAGGTCGACTACACCATTGGCTTGCATTCTAGGTAATGGCTGTGACTCTTCCCAACACCAGCGAACTTCTCGTACAAACTCTATCCAGAATGCCGCAATAGCTAAATAGACATCACAGAAAAATATGCCTTAGGGGGGAAAAGAATGCTGAAGTAACTTAATGAAGAAATATACAAAGGAAGTGCTTTCTTGAACTTTTTCAGCCCATAAAGTCGGAAGGTACCCCTTATATTGCAATCACCAAACCAGAGAGAATGCAGACAGAACTGGCCAAAAAGTGATTCAAGAGGAGAGCCTTTAATGGTACGAGAATTTTCATGATCTCCTTCAGCAAAATCAAGTTGCAGGGCATCAACTGTATGAAGAAATTGAAATGAATACAAGATAAGTCAACTGATGTTTCTCCCTCCATTTAGAACCTAAATTTGGAACTCCAACACCATATATTATATTCTGAAGAATACACTTCTCATTATGTCTGATTTCTAATTCTCTTCTTGTTGTTAAAACAGACTCATCATTAGTAGGGTAAACCAGATCAAAGTACACTGCCTAAATATGGCTAGGTCAGCCAAGAATCCAGCTGGATTAACATATCTCCACATCATTTCTGTATGATGAATGGAACATGTATCTAACCAGTGAATCAAAGAATGTACAGCAAATATTTATGTTGATATGAAATAACACTAATCTAAGCCATTATCATCCCCCCCCCCCTCCACCACCACCACCACATTTTCTTACATCTTGCGGATTAAGATGTATAAGTTATTAATCATATGCCTAACCTACAGTAAATAAAATAAAGTATAGAATCTGAGAGCGACATTGTCCATCAAAATTGAAACCTCAGGAAGCAGCAGTTACCGTTTTCAGAATTGCAATCCAAGTGGGAGAAGTAGAAAAGGCTACAACTAAAGAAAAAGAGAACTCGTGATATACCTTCATGAAAGAGGTCTTTAAGAACTCGATCAAGGACAGTTGGGGGAGGTATGACTGCAGTAGACTTCAAATTCTCAGGTCCTGAGTTCTCTACTGCCAAAAATAAAGGAGCAGATTAGTGAACAAATGCATCAAGATCAAAATCTCCACATTTATACAAATCTGATATCGCATCGCAATTGAACAGAAAATTGCAGATGATTTGTTCACAGTTTTAGAACCTGAAATAAAATCTTCCACAAATTTAGCATCCAGTGACATATGAAAAGCGTCAATTAAGAGCAGCAACTGTGATGCGAATCCAATTCTCTTTCTGCCAGAACCATCACTTCTGAATTCACCAAACATGTTTACGAAGTGAGACTCAAATTAGTGCGCAAAGTTCAGTCCAAACCAATCAGTATTGAATCAGAGGAAGATATTAGATAACATTAAAACCCTTGAAACCCTTAATGTGACAACTAGGACATTCTTTTTTATAAGCAACTATAACTAGGACCTTCTTAAGAAGCTTAATCTTGCATAAAAATATTGAGTGTTTTCGACGCAAGTGTTAGTCAGCCAATTACATGTTACCTTCACAAAAGAAAAGTGTTCATCACTCGCTAACACCTCAAAAGCAAATGAAATGAATGAGGCAAGCATAAAATGAAAAAGTTAAACTTCGCCATTTCCTAATTATATTTGGCACAATGTCAAAAGCATTACAGTGTTACCTCCATCCTCTTAATGTAGGAAATAGAAAATCACATAATGCTACAGCCTACAAGAAGACGATGTTCCATTCCAATACCTAGTCGATAATTTAGTTGACTGATGAAAAGCTGTGTGAGTGGTAAAATACACAATTTAAGTTCTCTTAAGCTACTGCACAGATAAACTGACTTAGCAAGACGAGTCACGGGTTGCTGGTCAAACATTAGCCACAACGACCCATGGGAACAGAAAGCTTGCACTTTTTGAGTAATAGCATCCTGTTCATCAAGTAATTAAGCTCACAGTCAAAATTTAAGTTCAGCGGGGAATATCCTGTAAAACTATATAAGCTTCTTGTTGCCAATTTTATCTACTTTTAGAAGAAAAAAGATGAATGGAGGACTAATTAACAATTTTGCTGATGTTATATACTTCAATGATAATCAACGTTTTTAGTCACAGTAGAGTGACTAGCAACTAGTGTAGAGCAAAATTTTCAAAAATGATCACCTATCTTTCACTATATTGAATCATTGACTACTGAAGGAATTTAAAAACATTATCTGGATATATGGTGATTATATTTATTTGCGTGATGTAAATGGCTGCAGAGACTTCGATAGGAACACATTTCACTGAATAGTATGTGCAGATATTTTTTCTTTGTTGACAAGGGAACCCATAGTCGCTACCCTTCAGGTCTGCACAGGGAAACCCCACTACAGTGTAATAGCCAGCAGACCTCACACAGGAGAGGTAAATAGCATTAGCAAACACCATGCAACGTGCTCAACAGAGAAAGCAAGCAGGGGGCTTCGAACTTGAAATCCCCCAACTGGGAGATCACATGCTCAACCAGCTGGGTCACCCTTGACAACAATCCATAGAGCTACCATTACATCCACATAGCAAACAAGAATCTCAATGAAACACATCCAGCAGGCAAATGAAAACTTGCTAAATCACAAATTTTACCAATATAATTATAAGGAAGTGGTGGAGAAGACTCAAGTCTTCCATTTTTCATGAAGCAAGAGTAAAAAAAATGTGAGTATTCATAGTGTCTTACAGAATCTCAGAAAAACATGGAGTTATTAACCACTTCTCAGCCTCAAGAGGTGACACATTTTCCATCTCAGCCATTTCAAGTGAACTCTCTATCGCTTTCTCTGACCATACTGTAAGCAGCTCAAACCCTGCATCATTAACAAATACATCTAGTAAATCAATAACGCTAATGGACAGAGAATTATAAATTAAAATAAGTTCAATCTCTTGTACCAAATAATATAGCAAAATGTAATAGTTGGATAGAAAAAGATTGAAGTACATTCTTACAACCCCCTAAAAGAAATTCATTCTCTCCAATTAAAGACTCTTAGAAATCCTTTCCATCTCAATACTCTCAATAGCTGAAAGAACGATAATTTTCCTCAAGGCACTCACGAATAATAGTAAGAGCCAAAAACCATATATGTAGATGAAAAAAATTTGGCTGATTTATTCATAAATGTTGTTCTAAGAAGAGATACCAGTTGTAGGCAAAGATCCAAACACTCAATTATGAGAATTTAAAGCAGCAACTCTGCAAACTAAGGTTTAGATGGGTCTTATGTCACTCCCCCTGATGAGCTCCGACCAGATCTGATAGTAAAAAATACAGTTATTAATCTCCTCAGCAACACCATTACCTCTTAATGGGTCTTCAGCAGAGTACCACTCACTCCAAGGACAATTATCATCCCACTGTGTTCTACTCTGATGGTTGCTTTTGGGACTCTCCCCAGATTCTGTAAAACCTCCCTCAGATTCTTGTACGTCATCATCCTCACTATAGGGAAGTGTGCGATAGGTCATCTTCATCTTGAGATTTACTTGGAAAAGATGCATGGATAGGTCCATATTGGAGAAGGCCTTGTCCAAGGAATTCAAAATAGGTTAGATTAGAAGGACACTAGTTGAAGATAATAAAAAGCTCATACAATTAGTAACAAAATTCCTTGAAAGCAAGAACAATGCAATTGTCAAGAACATATCATTCATTTGGCAAAAAACTGGGCAGCCATAAAAAGCCAATTTTTATTTTTGTTTTATTGATATTGGCAAATCCCACCCCAAACTTTCCAATGCAGGAGCCGCTTTGCTCCTTTGGCTATTCAAACCCCAACCTTATAGTTGAAAATGGAGGGTCCTTACACCAAACTGTCCCTCCTTTGTCGTGTCACAAAAATGCCAACGGGGGGATATCAATATGCTGCTCTTTCAGAAATCCAAAATGTAAATATCATCTGATTTTAAGAAGAAAGAACAAAACCGAGATCGGTTAATTTCAAACTGCGCAAAGGTAGCTCATGAAGCATGAAGCTTTATGTACAGCACAAAACCGAGATCAACCAATTGCAAACTGTGCAAAAGCAGCTCCTGAAGCATGAAGTTTTCTGTACATCTTAGGAAATACAGCAACTCAACCAGAATTGTAAGATCAACAAACCATCAGAACCTACAAATCACTTGGAATATCAAAAGTCTACACGAGAAGAACTTACAAATTTAGAAATAAATAGCTCATACAATCCCTCCAAATGCATAAGCTTCACTGGCACCTGGTTACCTATACGATCAGCTTCAAATCGTCTAGTGAAGAGGGTTCCCATGTTCTGGATGCCAATGTATGCTTTCCGAGAAGGATCATGCACTGGAACAAATGCCGGCCAAAAACTGCATGGTGTGAGCATATCAACCATTTCCTACATTGTTCACTATAGATAGGAAGTATAACAAACATAGAGCCAAGAGTTGAGTTCTCCTTAAAGAAAACCTAAGTACCGATATGATATAAAATTATTCTTTTCTGCATTTTTTAAGCCCCCCTTTTATTCATAAAGCAGGTTTTCCGGAGCCCCTTTTTAAGAGATAGAATGGAAGGTGTACTGAAAATGCTGCATTTTTAATTGGTTGCCACTTTTACTAGTTACTAGCATAATGACTTTTCTTATTGATGGAATCCACCGTTCACATAACTGGTACAGCTTTCCAAGTAAAAGATTCAAGCTAGATAAAACATTACTCACAAAAAGCACCATGAAAGTGCTTGAAGTTTACAATACAAAAAATTTAGCCTCTCTGCTAAGAGAATCAATACTGTATCGGGGTAGTTTAAAGTATTTTTTAAAAAACAGGTAAATATTGAGTATAATAAGAATAATAGACAGCCTAACACTAAGAAGGTACTAGGACATTACAACAATAGAGACTCCCCAATACAAAAAACAAAAAGGATGGATTCCTTTCGTACTATTCCTGTAGAAAATCTATGAAATTTAGCATGCTATTTCATCTTTGACATCCTGTAGGTCGTATAAAAAAACTAGAAGCCATAAACATCTGAATTTGATCTTCTGCATAGCATCTACTTTCCCTTCGAAACATCTTGCATTCCTTTCCTGACACCACCCAACAAATACAAGCAGCTATTGTATTCCAAATCTTTCTCAAAAGGTTTCTTTACTACCCCAACATCCCAGCTGCTTAAAAGTTCCTTTACTGAGTTAGGCATAATAAACATTCAGTACTGAATAGGTAGGAAAATAAGGACCAACTGACTTGTTACTGGACAATGCAAAAAAAAAAGGATGGTTGCCACTTCCCTCTATGTTTTAACACAAAAAGCACCTGCTGCATAATGACAAACCTCATCTCTGTAATTTGCACTGAGTTACGCACACCTCGTGAGAGACCAGACACATAAAACAACAGATCTTCTAAGGGGCATTGTTCTTCGACGGGGTATTTTAAGTAATTCAGGAACATTTGAAACATCAGTCGCATGCCGCTTGCTAAAGGGAAAAGGTATGACGCATAGCCTTTTGTTCTCGTGATTCTGAACATTACTTACTTCACATTAGCCGCAACTAACATATATTCTATTCAAATCTATATACTAGAAGCAGGAAAATATTCTGTTTCTGTTATCAATGTCTTCTTTGTTTCATCCTCATCAATCTCCACAGGTTTTGTTTAACAAATTAACCTTCCAATAAAGTGCACTTCTTTATGATTAAAAAAATCTCACTGACAGAACAATAATGCTCCAACATAAATTTATTAAATCTCTCACTATGATTTTAGCGCTATAGCACATGATTTTAAAAAGAAAGATGAGTGCTTCAATTAACAACAGGAATAAAACCTAGGCTAATAACTCAAAAGTAACGAAGTAAATAGAATGGTACAATCCTGTGACAACATACCCCGAACAATTTGACAATGCAATAGCAACTGCACTTAGAAGTTTGCTGGCCTCCGGTCCATCAAGAACCACGCCACTGGCACTTTGAGGAGCAATCACCTAGAGATGAACATTACAAATTCAGAGAGAAAGCAAAACAATATGCACTAGATGAAGGGTACTAAATCCACAAGAAACAGGTCATCTTTCTGTGTGGACATGAATGAGGGAAAAGAGATAGAGATACCAGGAACTCATTCACCCCAAAAGACAGTTGCAGATTATGCAATTCACAATTCCATCCATTTCCATTTCCTCGACCAACTAAATTCAAAAGATTGGTTGATTAAGTCAAATATGAAAACACTCTCGGATGGATTTTTGCAGCAGAATTATGTGCATACCATCATTGTGTGTTCCAAAATAGTACTCCATGCAATAGCTTTTCATCGCATACTTCAGGTCAGTTTTGACCTTATACAGGTCCTCAGCAATATTCAAACTGATAGCACCCTTTCTCTGTCATTAGATGTAAGATACACAAACAAGAAATCCATGAACAACATCCGAGAACCTGTTGGTCATACATCTACCAGAAGTATCAACTCAATGTAATATATAGTCAAGAAAATTTATAAACTATAATTCAAGTCAAAGCATAACGACAAGACTAAGTCCCACGAAATTTGAATTGAATAGGAAATAAACATACGCCAGTGTCCGCGAATATCATTAACATTTGAAAGAGATGATTGATCTAACCTGCAATTACTCCGGTACCAAGTACTTGAATATAGTATACAACCAAAGTGCACTAAACTAGGAGAAAAATAAAAGCTGATAACTATACCAGGGTATCCATTGAACTTTTGGGAAGCTATTATAAATACTTTCAGACTGTTCTGTCTGCAACTCTCTATGGGTATATTTATAGCAGTTCTTTGTAAGATGTTTTAGCTATCATCCAAATCAATTAGTCAACTATGTCTTAATATCAAACTAGTGAGGGTCGGTTACAAGAAGCCTCTATATCCATACTGCTCTATTTGGGCTCATTGCTTCCAATACTCTATAATATTTCTTTTAAGACAAATTAGATGTTCTTTGAAACTAACTGTTGTCCTATCTAATACTTAATCCAACACTAACATACAAATGTCTGCCCAAACTACACAGACTCGGGCATACACGAGATTAAATGTAAGTATAATAACAATAGCTAAGCCTAAATTCAGACTATATGGATCCTAATTCCTATGTAAATTCATTATACTTTGACTATCTTTACTCTAGCTGTCAGATTACCACTATTCCTTGAGATGGCTGCAGTAAACAGCAAAATTGCTTCCTCAATTGAAGAACAACTAAGCAACCTTTATCTGAATTATTTAATAGACTTATTATCCAGTCTACTAAATTCAAACAGATGCTTCAAAGGCCCATTCCTAGCAAGATTTTGTTAGGGACCAGACTAATAACTAAAGTAATGGTAGCAATGCTCAACTACAATCATTAGCATTGTTCATCCCTCCCGAAAGAGATTGAGAGGGAGAATTTGAGCTTCTGGTGTAGTATAAGTGCACTATTTTGAGTCATATTTATTGAGTGGAAATTATAATCACTCAGATGCAAATTCAAAATGATAAACTATGAATCACCATGTAAAAAAAATCTGAAGTAGGAAAATTTGAAAAAAATCATACCAACAAATTCTTGGTGCCATCAGCCAACCACTGCCGGCAAACTGCCTCTATCTCGGATATGAACCTACAGTTATAAATTATTAACTTTAGATTCTATGCCCCTGTATATATCATGATCTGAGCTTTGAGCATTGAGGACACAATCAGTAAATGCAGTAACTTGTTATGGTTGAAGAAAATACCTTTCCCATGAAGAGGCCAGGGTAAAATCATCAAAATGTTCAAACTGCAATTAAACAATTAAAACAACATAAAACCTTCCACCAACATTGAAACCAAAATGTGAAAATGAACAATCTTTTGAAGTAATGCAGCTAAATATTTCCAAGTTCCCTTCTTTCTTGCAATCCACCAATTACTTTCCTTACGGCATATACGTCTCAAATGTCGTTCGTTGACTAATAAAAGCATTGAGCACTTTAGAATGCTGGAAACAGGGCGAAAAATACCCATAAACTACTCAAAATAGCTCAACTTTATCCCTACGTTACATTTTTGAGTAAAGAATTGCCTCGCCATCACATTTTTGGCTTTAAAGTACCCTCCAACTATCCAAAACGGATCAAAATTCGCCTTCCTTCTACCGGATGTTCCAAAACACGACCAAATTTACTTTTACACTATTCCAAATGACACAATCAGTACAAACTACAGAATATTGCTTTAATCTGCTTCAAGTTAGAAACCTAGCTCTTTTATATAATTGCACAGAAAAATCCCAATTTGTATGGACGATTTATTAGATTTTAGGCTTAATGCGTGCTATAATACAAAAGTCGCAACAATAATTTACATCAAATTTATCAACAAAAAAAAAACAATTATGTAAGTACCTCCTCTTGTAGATCCTCATCCTCAGCAGAGCTAGGCATTTTGCTAGTTGACGCCATTAATTTTTCGCAGAAATCAAAATCTACAGTTCGTAATTGTTGATCACTAAACGATAAATTAGGATTATACCTGGAATCATAAGAATTTTAATCGGAGAATGTGAATTACAACTCGTAAATTTAAACGGGATCCTTTACTAGTATAATTTATGAAGAAACTCGTGAGATTTTTGGGCGACGATTATGGGTTACATGTGCAGAGAGAGACCTGGAGTGGGAAGCAGATGACGGTTCGATTATGACGGCGTCACTTTACGGTGAAGTGTTCTACTTAACGACATCTTCTTATTCGTTAACCACAGACGGAAAGAAGCCGCTCTATATGATAGTGTGTAATTAAAAAAAGGGAAAATATGCATTTTTTTTGATTTTTTTTTTATAATTTTATACATTTTTTATTGTTTAGCATATTTTGTAATTTTACGTAATTAAGGCGCGTAAAAGATATTTACATATCATTAAATTAAAAAGGTATAAAAAATTTTTTAAGATAATAATAATTTAATTAACGTGTGTATCTTGAATTTCAATCATAATCTAAATAAGTACTCGTAAAATTTTTCATTAAGAAAAGAAAAGACATCAATGTTTATATTAAGCAAAAAATTATTTATAACTCTTGTATAGTTAAATTAATTGGATAATATAAGTTAAAGTACAAGTGTGAGCAAATGATGCTGAGCTAGCAGCCTAATGCTTCGATTTCAAGTTGATTGAATTGAATTCATAGCTTTCCAGTCCTTTTTTTTTATACGGTTGAATTTGTACAAATTGTAACTTTAAAATTCAATAATTTTACTGAATTACAACATTAAAATTACAAAAGTTAATTCTAACTTTATTTTTGCAATTATTATTTTTTTAATCAAGAAAAGACCAAGTGAAGTGGTGGTTGGGATAAGAATTAATGATGAGAGTCATGGAATTCAGAAAGATATCTTTTGTCGAAGACATGATGAATAAAAAAAAGGATCGAATCAGATTGTTAAGAATTGTATTAGGTCATAATTGAAAATTACTAGTTCAACTTGCTATATTTTATCACATCTTGTTATATGTTCATATTGTCTAGCATTTTTTTTTGGCACATAGTAAGAAATTAAAAATAACAATAAAAAACTTTTTTAAGCTACCTTGCTTAAATTAATAAATAGAAAAAATTTATATTTTTAGTTGTGTGGCTTTTTTTAAACTAGCATTTTTTTTTCAGATTTATCTTTGTTCGCCAAAAATCTACTTAATTTATTTTTTATTTAGAGTACAAATACGTCAATATTATGGTGTCTAATATGATCAATATCAAAAGACCATAAGATTGAAGAGAGAGAACAACAATTAAAAAATAGTTGAAATATAACAAAGAAATGATTGTGCATTTCATTCCAAAAGATCAAAAAAATCATCCCCATTCTCCATAATTTTTCATATCTCAACTTTTTTATTTCATACTTTCAAAATTACAAAAAGATCAAAAAAATCATCCCCATTCTCCATAATTTTTCATATCTCAACTTTTTTATTTCATACTTTCAAAATTACAAAACACATGATTAAAATTTATGTTTTAACTAATACATATAAAACATATAAATAGAAACAAAATTTCAAACTCACAAAATGCATTGTGTTTTTAATGAATTTATTACCCAACTTAAAAAATAGAGCAAAATATATCATATTTTGAAACAGATGGTTTGATGCAAAGATAAAAGAAAATCATGACTCAAAATTTGTTTGGATAAACCATTGTAGAAACTTTAAAGAATCGATTGTATACGATTTTTAGACAAGACACTTATTACTACAACCAACGGACATGACGTTTATTTGTATAGGTAAAATATGGATTTTAATTTCACGAAAGATAGTAATTGTTCGATTAAATTTGGAAGACACAAACAAAGCTAATAAGTAACAATAACAATATCGACATCACACAATATAAATTATGGTGCGATAATGAAATTATTTCACACACAATCTCTAAATAAATTTTATAGTGTATGATCCAAATTTAATTAAAACTCTAATATTATAAATTTTGAATGCTGGATGAAAAAAAATAATAATATAAAAATTTATTTTTATTTTCGACTCTTTAAATTTTTAAAATATATTATACTAATATATCTAATAAAAATAACTTTTGGAACAACTATTCGTTCCCAATTTTCAATACAACACAAAAGTCATGGGCTCAAATCTGTCCACACCAAAAACCAACAAAGATCTCTGTAAAGTTATCATCAACACGAAGTATATAATCACATAGGATAGAAAAAGTAGAGAACACGTGACCTACTAAGCTACACTATACATGCGATATGATTTACTTTTTCCGTTTTAAAATTATTTGTACATAAATATTAAAGTATTGATAAAATATAATAAATATAAAAATAATAATATGATTGTTAATGAAATTGATAAACAATCGGCTCAGAGTAACAAAAAGTTATGTATTTTGTCTTACTTCATGATATATGCAATGATATTTGTTGTGATCACTCTAAACTACTACATTGATTTAGTGTCATGGACACTATTTGTTATTTATTATAAGATAATCCAATTGAATTATAACAAGCTAATAATTAATTTTAATAATTTTTAAAATTTATACATAATTAAAATTTATGATCGAACGTATGGCTAAGTGAAAAAATATCCGGAAAGCAAAATTGAGGGCCACATCCCAAGAAATGCTTCAATCTCCGAGGACACCGAATGACAAATCACTATCACTATTCCATGTTTAATCAGACATAACTATCATCACATTCACCGCTCCGGCCGTCGCTTTAAGCTCACTCTTTGGTCACCGGTCCTATTTATTTCCCCACCATCTCCCATAAAACTAACCCCCAATTCCCCTAACACAGACAAAAATGTTACTTTCATTAATTTCGAAAGTTAAATAAATATTTAAATTAAATAAAAAATATTAAAAATATGTCCAATTAGATATAAATTATTAATATTTTTTTTATATAATTTTATAAGTATTTTTTTATTTAATTAATTAAATTTAAATTCATCTTTAATTTATAATATGATATAAATAGTCGTTTTAAATTCTTGTAAAAACGTGAGATTTTTAATTTAATAAAATAATTAAGAGAAGTAAGATGTGTAAGTAGCCAATCTCACTTTTAACTTAGGAAGGTAAATTATAAATTATAAATAATTGTCTAGAGTAAAGTAAAACTTATCAGAATACAAATACAGTAATGAATAATAATGCATGTTGAAAAATCAACTTAAGGCAATCAATAAGTTTTGAAAATGAATTACCTAAAAAGGAAATCATATTAATAATTCATACAACAATAATAATTAACATAATTTGGTGTATTTCATTTATTACTACAATTTCCCTACTCTATTATTATCTATCTATATATTTAAATAACAATTTCTCTACTTCTCAGTTCATTTTTATAGAAACTTTTATACCTCTAAGCTAGTGTTCACTTGGAGCTAGGCTCAAATCATATACACATAACTAACTATTCATATTATTAAAAATCAACAAGGAAGACGTGGTATTCTGGATCTGCGTGCTTCAACTCATGGCAGCAGCATTGGAGTGCTGGTCCAGTAGAGCAAGTATGGATGAGGACATGGTAGAACAAATTCTAATGAGTAACAATGACAGATCGGAGGAGCCGTCGGGAAATGATTGCTCAGCTGGTGGTGCTAGTTCTACCGGCGCCGGAAGCAATGGAAGTTTTAAAGAGTCCTCTGCGATGCAGAAGCGTTTACAGAGGCTGAGCCGGAATGTATCGGAGGCTATTGCGTCGCTTAAGAACTCACTCAACCTTGAATCGGTTCGTGACCCGCCCTCGGACCGGGTTGAGACCTGCCGGAAGCATGTTTGGGGTAGTGTTGTACGGGGCTTGACTCAGCTTTATCCTGGTAGTCAACTTCCGGAGAAGCTTGTCTCTAACATTCGCAAGCATTACGACTCTTTTCCTCTCAGGTTTAGCATTTCTACTATTTATCAATAAACTCGTCGTTGCATATTTAACGATGATTTTATATGTCTATGATTACAATGGCGGATCTAAGATTTAGAAATCCTGGGTTATGAGCTTAGAGTGTGAGTTCTAAATGTATGTCTAACTCTAGTTATAGTTTTTTTTTAGTTTTTTTTTTTTTAACATCTGCTTAAAGTGTGACTTGTGGGTTTATCCAAAACTCTTGAAGTGTTTGTGCTACAGTATATACGTGATGGTGAGCATCAAATTGAAAATGGATCAATGGAGTGGAGTGATTATCGGGAATTTGTATAATCAATACCAACTAGTTTATGATTGAGACATACTAGTAGTAGTTGTTGACTTGTCGTTATGTGTAAGGTTTGGACCAAGAGCACTGTTTGGATGGACCACCACAAGCTAGATATTTTCCTATTGTGCTTTGGTTTTGTTTGTTTTGGTATTTGCATTTTCTTATATACTTGGCTTGTTTTTGATAGCTATGGGCAAGCTGGATTCGAAATGAAGGATGTGTTTCTACATATTAGATTGATAGAGCAGGCATCTGCAGAGGACCACCCAGCCATTATGATACAAGAGGTGTCTGATGATGAAGTCCAAGGGTCGATTTTCAAGTTGACATTTGCATGTAACTCCTCTATTTCATGGCCTACAATGTCCGGGGCACTCGACAGCGCCTCAATTTGCTGCAAAAAGATACAGATCTTTGAAAAGAAAGGTTTTACATTGGGCGTTGTGATGCTTTTGGTTCAATCCGGGAAAGAAAAAATGTTTAAAGCTCGTATCGAGAATTTTCTTAAATCAGCCCTTAAGAAGCCAAAATCTACTTCAATAAAAAAGCTTCCATTTGGCCTTTGTGGGACTCAAGAAGAGAACACGAAGAACAGAGAATATGGAGACATTGAAGAGGACTCTGGACAGCCAACTTACAAAAATGGATTCGAGAATTCGAGCCCAAAGGTCCAGCTTCGAATGCCTTTACCTACTTCATTGTTTACAGTCTCAGTGGATGAATGGCAGACTGTGTTATCTGGTGGGGAAGAGATTGGAAAGTGGTTATTGAGCTCTGATAATCTTGAGTTCATCGATCAGATTGGACCTAGTACATTCAAAGGGGTATACAAGGGGAAGAAAGTTACGATTGAGAAGCTCAGGGGCTGTGATAAAGGAATTGCCTATGAGTTTGTGCTTCGAAAAGATTTGTTGGAGCTGATGACTTGCGGGCACAAGAGTGTATTGCAATTTTTTGGTGTTTGCATCAATGA